TAGTAGCTAGTTGTTGACTGGAATGAAGTCAATGTTACCAATTAATGAAAAAGGCTTTTCGTTTCTGCTTTCCACGTCGATGCCAAATTCTTTTTGTTGTTTATTCATGTTTTTCTTTTCTTTTTCTTATATTTTTTGGGCCTATGAGCGCAATAAGATTTACAATATCTAAGCTTGTTTGGCATTATATTATGTGACGAGGAACTAGCTTTTCTAATGTGAAAAACTATTTTGACGCAACAGGTAATGCTTGAGATGTTTTACGACAAAATGACTTCAGCTGCCAAAAGCCAAATTGAAACTAAAATAACTTTTTGGCTTTTAGTTTTTCCGTAAATTTAAATTTTCTAATAAGTTTATGTCAAACTGACCTATTTAATAAAATCATATCCAAATATAGGTGATATTACACTAATTAAATTTTATTCTAGATTTATTTTGCAAAAGTCAGTTAAAACAAAAGTCACTTTTGTCAACATTAATCCAAACAAACCGATAATTTGAACAATTTAAACTTAAAGTTTTCAATTTACAATTTACAATTTTTAAATTATAAATTTTCTTTTTTTCGCATGCCAATACTTAAAAGGTTATATTTATTTTGTAATTTGTATTTTTTAAAATAATAGAAATAAATTAACATTAAATCTAAACCATCATGTTTTAACTTGAACGGTGGAGTTTTGGGCAATAGGCGCCGTAGCGCAATGCATGGGGCAACTTTTTTTCTTTTTCTTTCTTGTTTGTTAAAGTATAGGTATCTTCTTATTAAAGGTAATTATATTTGAAGCACTATCGGGCACTAAATGTAAGTACCTCTCCCAGTGGGAATTCGAATATTAATTCGCCACGTTGTGAGAGACTAGATTATTTCCGCCAAACCCAATCCTATTGATGAAGCAACTTTTTTTCGTATAAAAAGCTTTCACATTCTCTCTATTAAATCCACAAAGTTTGAGTTGTTTATAAAATTCTTTCTTTTTCATTTTCTTTGTCCCATTAATTTAACCCTCCTCATAAGGAAGGAACCCAAACACACGGACCCCAATTTTTGCATTTTTGAAACATAGAACCTCCATCCTCCCACATGAGAGAAGTTATGGAGAACCATTGAATTAAGAGATTATTGGCAATGAGTTTCTTTCTTATTTCTTATTTTCATTCAATTTAAATATAATCTTGTATTTTGTTGGAAACTTTAATTGTAAGTTTGGTTTCTCATTTTGATTTATCACTTTTATGTTAAAAGAATAACGATTAAAAATAGACAATGTTTTGACGTTTTTCATTAAATATCTTATTCTGTGCTCCTATATGTTCTTGTTTTAATCGATCACCATATATATATATATATATATATATATTTATCAGATGACCGTTGACGAGTATATATTTTGTTCAAAAGTGGTCATTGAATAAAATTAAGAGTAAAATACTCTAACTTCCCTTGCATTTTGTCTTAATTACACATACCTCCTCTCTATTTTGAAAACATACACTTAAATCCAAACTGTTAACTCTATTAAAAATATTTTTAAAAATATTTTTTAATTCAAATTTATATTGAAATATTTTCTATTTGCTAAATTACTCTTCATAATACTAAAATCCCAAAATCTTGGTTAAAACTATATCAAAAAATTTAAGATTTTCTCCTTTACCTTAATTTTATTTTTTTATTTTTGAAAATTGTTGTTTGTTTAATGTTTTTTATCATATTGGGCCAAAAAATTAAGTAATTTAGTTAATTCAAACATAAATTTAAATGATTTATATAAGTTTCTAAACTCGCATAATTTATATTATGTGATAAGAAAATAAGCATTCAAAATATTTTCTAGCCATTTAAAAAAATCTTAAGTTTCAATATTTTATGAGGAAATAAAATTATATAATTCTATAATATAATTGAAATTAAAATTTTTTATAACATATTAAAAACTTTGAAAATACATGTATTATAATTATTTTTTGTTGTACCAAAAATTGTTTTTATTTAAATGTTTAAATAACATTTATGTTAAAGAGGGATATTTTGGTCAAAATAAAAATTTAAAAGTCAAACTTAACAGTCAACTAACGTTTGGATTGATGGAAATTGAATATTAAAAGTATAAGAGAGGTTTGTGTAACATACATTTTAATTTGAAGGAAAGTTTATATACGTTTTCAAAATAGAAGGGAGGTTTCTGTAATTTAAGTATAATAGAGGGGTAGTCAATATATTTTACTCTAAAATTAAAGGAAATGTATACCTACCAATTTGAAGTGAGCTTTGAGAAGAAAAAAATTTCAAACTGGCCCCTCAAGCCATATTTTTAATTCTTGAAATGTAATCGACAGCAATAATCTAGATAATAGATCTCTTTCGACCAAAAATGACAAAATAGGAATGGAAAAGTTTAGCCGCCCACTTTCTCGTGTTTCATCTTTTTAATTAAAAATCCTTGATGAAGATACTTTCTAAGTCTGAAATAAAATAAAATATTTGAAAGTTATCATAAAAATCTAATTTAATCACCTGCTATTTGATTTTTTTTCTTTTAGTCTATGGAATTTAACCTTATTTTGGTTTTCCTCTATGAACTTTGAAACCAGCAGTTTTAGTCATTGAAATTTGGCCTCATTTTATTTTTCGTCTCTAAAATTTAAAACCGGTGGTTTTATTCCTTAAAATTTGATTTCAATCTTTGTCTCAGAGACTAAAACACAATTTCAAAGACTAAAAATCTTTAGACAGACAAATGTGAAGTCAAATTTTAGAAATCAAAATTACTGATTTTAAATTTTACGAATTAAAACTAAAATGATGTCAAATTTCAAGAAGCAAAACTAAAATAAGATTAAATTTTAAGAGCCAAAATAATATTAACAAGGGTATAATGAAAGTTTTCAATTTCTTTTCTCCCGAATCATCCTAAAATTTTTGTAACCACCATGCATGGTCAGCACGCATTAGCCATAAGGCGCATTATTACACTTCCCCTCCTTTTTTTTAAACCATGGTTTCAGAAGCACTTTTCCGCAAAACGAGGTAATCTCCTCCACATATTTACTTCGTAATCCGTAAAAGCACTTCTGAAACCATGGTTTGGTTTCTATCCAAACACCCCCTTTATCACACATTGGCCCACACACAATAATTGTGAAAGGTAATTGAGTGTGATTACTCTCGAATTTCTAATGCAATGATTTGTTTTCTTTTTGAATGAGCCAAAGAAATCAGTGAGGAGATTCCAACTGGAAAGAGGTGCAATAATGCGATGGCTTTGTCTTTTTATTCTTGGAAGCTACCAAGAAAATTTGGTACCTTTCGTTTATAATTGAGACGGACGGTGCATGCATGATTAATAGTGTTTAATATAACTAATCAGAACAATATTAAAAAATATTCTAATTTTATGATAATTTAATACTTAAACTAGGATTTAGCTAGAGTATTTTTTAATTTCCTGATACGTATAAATTAATTGAAAGCAGCTTATATTTACGATATAGCGGACAATAATAATTTTTTATAAAATGTCTTTGATGTATATTCTTTCTCAAATTAAATTTTTTCTATTTTAATTTACAATAAAAATGTATGTAGTCTTTTTTTTTTGGACAACACAATTAAAACAAATGTATGAATGGAGCTAGCTAGTTGCTGACGCAAGTGAAGGCAACACGTACGTTTCTTCCTAAAACAAATTGGTCACTTTATGTATGGACCCTTTCTTTCACCTACTTAAAATATATAAAAAAAATCCATTGAATATCAGAAAATATATAATAAATACTTATTTAGTCCTATTTATAAATTGTTTTAAACATAATTCATCGAAATTAAGATATATATCACTGGAATTAAGAAAATTTTTAATTATGAGCATGATGATTTTTAAATCTTATAGGGTTATCTCTAATAAGTAGCTAATTATATTAAGTATCTAATAAACTAACTTTACTATTCTTATCAGAGTAATAACTAATAAGTAGTCTCTCAAATGGAAGTTTCTATATTTAATTTAAATGTACAGTAAAAATGTATGTAGTTTTCTATTTTGGCCGACAGAATTAAAACAAATGGATGAATGGATCTTTTCTGTAATGAAGTCATCAATCCCACGTAATGTAAGTAGCGAGTTGCTGACGCAAGTGAAGGCACCACTTTTTTCTTCCTACAATAATTTTGTCACTTTCTGATGAGCCCCTTCTTTCACCTACTCAAAAATTTAAAACAAAATCATTCCATATGAGAAAAATATTGTGTGTGTATATATATAACTCATATGCCATATATCTTATAAAAAAGGGGAAAATTTCCTTCACCAAGTATGTTATAAAAAAGATATTGAAGGGAGTATAAGCAAAAACGTATCATATTTTCCATTTCATGCTAGAGCATCCTTCTCTTTATGCCCTAATCTAATATTCGTTTATATTTTTCAAACTCCTCTTTGACTTCCAGGAGGATGGATTTAATGTACGAGTACAATTGAAAATTTTTCTAATTTTCATAGGTCATATAGTTATAGTAAGTTCTAAACTACTTATGAGTTGCAACAAAATTACTGAGCGAGTAACTTGTGAAAAGAACGAAGAGTATATGAGACCACAAAATTTGCTTCTTGATATATATTTTTAAAAAAATTTGGATCATCTTTGATTTTTAAAATTTCATTTCATTTTGATTTGGGTCCTTAAAATATGTATAAAAAGTCAAATCCTATTAACTAAAATTACTGATTTTAAATTTCAAAAATCAAAACTAAAATCAGTCAAATTTTAGAAAATAAAGATAACTTCAACCCTGAAAAAAATCTTACAAAATTTTTTCAAAATTTTTCCCGTAATTTACACACCTTTCAGTGAGATCCAAAACAATACAAAAAAACTTTGAAGCTCAGTGGAGGTAGACAGGACTTGGATACACGCATATATAAATGGACAAAGTGGAAGTGACAAAGTGCAGAGAGTCCACAGATAAGTAGCAAGAAGCTAATGAGAAGATAGAAAGCTAGAGAGAGAGAACTTGAGAGAGAATATAATGGCTGGAGGTGGGGAAGCTACTGCCGACGTATACACTCCTACATGGGTTGTAGCCGTCGTTTACACTGTCATTGTCGGAGTTTCATATGGTGTAGAACGTCTTCTTCATCATGCCGGAGAGCGCCTTAAGAAGGAGAATAAGACGGCCCTCTACGAAGCTCTTCAGAAAATCAAAGAAGGTTCTGTAACTGTAACTAATAATAATAAGCTCCCAAACTTTTCTTCTTGAGTTCATCTAAATTAATTTTGAAAACGTTTTAAAATCTTTTCAGAGTTGATGCTGCTGGGTTTCATATCGCTGCTTCTGACGGTTTCAGAGAAAAGGATCGTAAAAATCTGCGTGTCGCCGGGGGTGACCGATGATATGATGCCTTGCTGGACGAAATCTAATCATTCTGCAACTGTCAGTCATCTTCCTGCTGCGGCGGCGCCACCATCATCTGGTGCCGAAATCGAACATTGTGCTGCTCAGGTAACATAACGTTTCCACATTAATTCCTCACTCCAACCAACAAGTCGCCGGTTATAACACTGATTATATTGAGTATTATGAGTAGTATTTTTAATGATTTAGATTTAAATTTTTATTTTTTAAATATGAAAATAGCCTTAAAGTACTGATAGTGAAGAAATTATATGTTTGTTTTAAATTGGGATAATATAATTGTTGGTTCTTAGGGTTTGCCTTAATTTTAATTTTAGTCCCTGAAATTTAAAACCATCACTTTTGATCCCTCAAATTTACTTTATTATAATCTGTTGGTCCAATAGATTGAAAAAGACTTGGTCCTCATATTAGCGGCGTCATGTCTGCTTAGATGTCACTAACGCTATTAAGTTTATCGTGCTGACTTGGTGAGCTGAGATGGAAAAATAAATGAGTCCGCGTCTAAAGCAAGAGGGACAAAAGAAACACTATTCATCATCATTTTTGGCTCAATTTGTTATTACGATTGAAATTATTTGCAAATATATTTCATATAAGTCGAGACAAAATTCCTATCATATACTTATCTCGTATTTCGTAAATCACGATTGAAAAGTTATTTATAAGCTATTTTAAACGGGCCTTTCATTAGGTAACTAGTGATGGTGAAGGTGAGAGGAAGAGAGAGGAGAGAGCCGTTGTTCTGCATCATCTTCATCATCGAGCAGAGATGGAGCTCGGTGGCCTTCTCGGCAGGAGGAGCGGCGATGCTGTCAATCCTTGTTCTTTTTTCCCCCATTTTTTCACAAGCACAGATCTACATGGGCTGACTCATTTATTTTTCCGCCTTAGCTCGCCCGGTCAGCACAAACTTAAAGGCATCAGTGACACCTAAGCAGACATAACCCCATTAATATCCGGGCTAAACCCTTTTCAGTTTACAGGGACTGACAGTCTTTTACGGAATAAATTTGAGAGAACAAAAGTGATAGTTGAAAACCAAAATGAACACAACCTCTAAGGATCAGCAATTATATTGTCCCTTTTACATTTTAAAAATTAAAACATTTCTTAAAAATAAAAGTAAAATTATATCTAAGCTGTCCATTTAGATTAAGATAGTCCAAATTTCAGTGCTCACCACTTTAAAATTGGTTTGCATCGCCAGTGTGGCATTTACTGTTGCGGTGAGATGTGTACAATTTCGACAAATTAAATTTAAAAATTTTAATTGATGATTTTAAAATAAAAAATCATTTTATTTTAAAAAATCATAGTTATGTGATTTTCTTTAAACTCTATACGCACTTAAATGTTTTCCAAAAAATGAAAGTAAAAAATATTAAATCTAGATTGTCCAAATTTTGGTACTTGATGAGCATCAAAATGGCGAACTATTTTCTTCATCACTTGAGATTGGTGAGTTTTCAACGGGCAAAAGTGCCCTTTTGGTTCTTTTTCTTCACAAATTAAATTATCAGTCCTTTGACCTAAATACTGTTGGTTTTAAATTATAATTTTTCTAACAATTATTACCATCTTAAAAGTTTAAACTTAATATATTCGCATTTAAGTATATTTTGTCAGCACTTAAAATTTTAATATCAACATTTTTTGTTAATGCATTATTAAAATGATACTTTATAAAATTAAGAAACTAAAATGACTAAATATGCATTTTTTTCATTTTTTCTTTTTAACAAAATAAAAGGACAAACATTCGGATGTTATAATAACCACTAGAGTTATGGAGGCTCTCAGAGTCAGGACACAATAACCCTTTCAGTTATTCATGCCATGAATTTTCCTTTCTAAGTTTCTTGAACTATATATGATCATTTAACAGTTTTGTACATTATCCCTTCATTTTCTTTCAGAACAAGGTTCCCTTGATATCCCTTAAGGCCATCCATGACCTGCATATCTTCATATTCACTCTTGCTGTAGTCCATGTGATCTATTGTGTTCTCACAGTTTTCATTGGAAAACTCAAAGTGAGTATCTGAGACGCTTTCAATTATAAACTATTAATTCCTGCTCCCAATTTTCTTTCTTTATTAAAGATCCATCCCTTTGTTGTATAGATACGACACTGGAGGCACTGGAAGGATTCAATTGCTGAAGCGGATCAGATAGGTACCTAAGTGACTCAATTATTTAATCAAATCGTAGTCTCTTTGGTAGATGTTTTTCAAGTTCTCCTTTGTCAGCTTTATCTTTTTAATTTGTTTTCGTGAACCATGAAACCACCGAAAAGAATTAATTAATCTAACAAACAGTATCTGCTTAACTCCTGTGAAAGTTATATATCTTTCTGGGTATTTTTCTTCTTGATGGCTCCTTATATGCTAAATGGATTGCTGCAGATCCGCAAGGATGGAGCTCTCATAATCTGATGACTTGGTTGGTAAGTTGTTCATATATGTTAATCCAAAACTGAGAATTGATTATTATATACTCTTATAGTCCTAAATATCAGACTCATTTTGTAATATAATTTACATTACAAAATAAGACTTACATTCAGGAACTGAGGAGTACATATATACATATATATATATATTCATATCACTCATGAAAAACAACTTAAATTCCCTTATTGGAGATTATGTTTGAGTTTTAGTTGTTCATCCTAATCTTGCAAGTTTCTTGCAGCATTGTTTTTGGAAGCAATTTTGTGGGTCCGTAAATGAATCGGATTATGTGACATTAAGAAGGGAGTTTATGAAGGTAAGTTTAAAAGGGCATGCAATGTGAAGTTCGGTGCCTATTAATCCTTGATCTGAAGCTCTTTCCAAGTAGCCTCTCAAGTGGATGTCAAGATCATTCTTTTATATTTCTGTGTTTTAGATTCGCGAGGCAAATCCGAAGTTTAGATTTCATAAATACATGATAGAAGCTCTTGAAGTTGATTTTGTCTATGTTTTTGGCATAAGGTAAGTGCTTCTGGGCATTCAATTTGATTTTAAATATCTTTGGAAACTGATTCTGTAATTTTGGTTGCAGTTGGTACCTTTGGATCTTTGTGGTTATCTTCTTCTTAATTAATGTTAATGGTATGGTTATCTAATTATTTCTCTTGATTTTCTAGTTGTCTCCAAATTCAGATATTTGATTTTCTCTTTGTTCTTACAGGCTGGTACACATATTTTTGGATAGCGTTTATTCCACTTATTGTAAGTATCGTTCTAAGATTTATTTCACTTTTAGTGGAAATTTATTAAGCTTAAGGATACATCATGTCTCACCATTTGTTTCAGCTCACCATGCAACTTCATATCCTCAACTACTTATACTCTTGCTTATGATTTTTCTCTAAGATTCTTTCATCCATGCCCCTTCTTTTATCTCTCTCTCTCTAGATATATATATATACATATATATATTTATATTACTCCATTGTACTGATTTGCATTACTCCGTGTCAGCTTCTGCTAGCAGTTGGCACTAAGTTGGAGCATGTACTTATGCTATTAGTTCGTGGAGTAGATGCAAGCAATGCTGATGATCACTTTTGGTTCCGTCGGCCTTCCTTTGTTCTCTTATTGATTCACTTCATCCTTTTCCAGAACTCTTTTGAGATTGCATTCTTCTTCTGGACATGGGTGAGCAAATTCTATTATTTCTTCTCCTTAGCTTCCACTTTCATTTGCCCTTATGGGTTCACATAATTAATTGATATTTATGCATATAATCTTATATATTATTCAGCTTAAGACTGCTTATAGCCCTCACGCCTGCGTAATGGGACAATTCGCTTATGTCATCGTCAGGCTCGTTATTGGGTAACTATTAACACTTCCTTCCCTTTCACAATTGTGAATTATATGCTGTTAGCCGTTAGAGTTTCACTTAATTTGGGCAAACCACATGTCTAGATACTATTCCCTACGATGCTAAATATAGGATCGAGGATGACCTTTTAAGGGAATTAAAGTAAAATGAGGACCTGTCTGCAACTGGAACTTCTAAATTTATAACTTGAAAGTTTCATATATACAACTTGAAGGTTCCAATTGGACACCAACATTTTTTACAAGGTTGATCTTCAATTTGCATTCTCCATTGATTGGGAGTAGTAGATTTTCTTTGGGACTCAAAGTTTTAAACTATAGAGAGACTATATTATTTGAAACTAAATGAAACTTTGGGGTCCTACATATGCTAGTTCAACATTACTCCTTTTTTAACCTATTTTATGCATCCTGAAGTTTAATCTTTTCTTTCTCCTTTGTGTTGGGGTTTCAGGGTATTCATTCAGGTCCTTTGCAGCTATAACACGCTACCTCTCTATTCACTCCTTACACAGGTGTGTTTCAACTGAATCGATCCTTCCATTTGAAAGATATATTACATAGCTCTTAATATTAAGGAATAAGTGAGAAATATTGTCCCTAATATTAAGGTCAATTTTTTGAATCTTCACCTAACCTCACGGAAATCTTTTCAACAAGTTTGAATTATTGTCATGAAGCCCACAATTTATGGAAATCGTGAACCATATATCTCACCTTAGAATTCATCAATGAATGCAATCGAAAATTAGGCATTATTATTATTGCATCAACATGTGTCTCAATTATGAAACAATATGTGTAGATGGGAGAATATTACTGTAAGGAGATATTTCTTAAGCATCAGAAAGAGGCCGAAGGTGGTAAAGGTGCCGAAACAACGGCTTCTAAAGCATGAGAGCTCAACGTACTTGAGGGTGCCTATAATGTCCGAAGTGAACTATCATTTAGATCCTGAATCGTTAAATGCTTTCGTCCTGAAAGATGGTTGAGCTTGAAGGAGTTAGTTCGCGAATGTAACATATCGCTGCATATTAGTACTTTTTTGTTATTGTTATCTTAGCGATGACAGGTCATAAGTATCTTTAGTAATAAGGTGCATGAAACTTTGAAACCATGGAATATTGACCTAAGAGTTTAGGGTCAAAGTGCTATTTTACTTTGTAAATGATGTAATTTAGATTCTGCTTTACTACGTAGAGCCTTATGGTGTGTGTTGTATATATATTGGCTGATATATACTAGATTACCAGTTTGCTCCTTTGTGGATGAATTGATACATTGGGTTTATGCTTAGTTTTTATTCTATAATTTTAGAGTACGTGTTATATACGAATGTTGTGGATGTCCATAATCTCTAGCAACCATGGTTTTTGAATACATCCCGTGTTTTTTTTTTTTGGGTGATAAAATACATCCCATGTTTAATTATATAACTTTAACCCCATGTTTAATGGCGTTAAATTTATACCTCATAGGTTCCAAAAAGGTTGATTTTCTAATATGTAAATCCTAATATAATTACCTTTCAAATGCTGCAATATGTACAATTATGAATATTAATTCTTTTCTTTATGTGATCATCACTACTGAGGGCCTTTAAAGGGCTAATACAAATTTTGGTTCCTCAAATTTAAGTCAATTTTAGTATTAGTCCCTGGAATTTTAAACACATGATATTAGTCCCTAGAATTTTGGCCGATACAAAATGTTGGTCCCTGATATCTTCACATAGTTAATTTTGTATGAGATGGCACTAACACCGTTAGCCTAATGAGGGGAACATGCTAACGTGGCAATCAACAACGACCGAAGTGATTTCATCGCTCACTTCAGAAGACGGTGGGCTAAACTGCAACATATATGGCTCTTTACAGGTGGTTTCTTCGGGACGCAATGCTAGGTCCCTTTTTTTTCAATAACTTCTTCATCATCTTAGTATCCTCATCGTGATCCCTTGTTAATTAGACGGTCGTGATGGGTGAAAGAATCTTTGACATTCTGCTCAAGCTATATGTCACAGTGATCAAGTTTCTTCTTTGATGCAAACGACAGGTAAAGAGGATCCAGCAATGTGTTGTGGTTGCATAAATAAAGCTGATGACAATTCCCCTTACTACCCTCTCATCATCATCATCATCTTCATTGCATGTGTTGGGCATTAAAGTTGTCAGACATAGAGCAGTGATTGCCGACAAAGGAAATGATATGTGGTACGAGAGTAATTAAGCATTACTGGATAAAAACCCATCCATTCATTGAAGCTTGACCACAAGTTGATCAAACTAATTAATTAATGCAATGTTCAAAACAATAAGACTAAAAGAATAGACCTTGCAATGAGTTAATAATTTGGAATCAAGGGACTTGGTCAAGCTACAAATGTCAGGGCGTCAAGGCGTCCTTTGCCTTCCCATTCAAGAGCTTGGACTTAAATGGGTTGATCTTATCCCGAAGACTGTGTCACCACATTATTTTATTAGCTCTGTTTTTAGTCTCAAAAATAAAGACTAATAACAGAGATGCAATTCGAATTGTAACTTGACAGTATTTTAGTTGCATATCATGAATTTTAATGATATCACAACAGTATCATAGTTGGATATGATGGATTTTAGTTGAATATAATAGTAGCTAACAAGGTATCATCATACATATTATAAGGTGGAACCGCCACCTATGAACAAGAGTTTTTCTTTTCATGACAAAGTGTATAAGCTGTAAATTAGGGGGAAAAATTAATTTACTTATTTTATTTCAAGATCTAATAACCAAAGCATTTGGCATACCTTGGAGATGTATCCATCATAAGCAAGCTTGTACTTGCTGTCAAGGTGAGTCCTGAGCACCATTATGTCGTTCACACATGAAATATGCCACTTGGACCGTGGAATTGTCTTCTTCTTTTTTTTTAGTGGAAACAAGAGTATTATTGCACAGTTGCTGTCTCGAGTGAATTAGTGGAAGAGATCAACAACGTATTTGTTGCCTCGAGAGTGAGCTTTTTTTAGTTGCTTTTTTTCCCCTTTATGTCCAGGTCATCAAGCCATATATGTGCCAGCTTGTATATCCACCCCATCAAGTTCACAGTGTTAGTGCCGTCTCAAATGAAGTTAATGGTATAAAGGTATCAGGGACTAACGTTTTGTAACAACTAAAATTTAAGGGACCAATACCAAAATTGACTCAAATTTAAGGGACTCAAATTTGTATTAACCCGCCTTTAAATATAATATATGTATCAAGTACTTGAACTGAACAAGAGTTACTTTCTTTTTTTTTTATTAATTCTCTCTTATACTTGTTAGCAGTAGTACATGCAGAAAATAGTTAGTCTGAGTTACATCCTATGAACGATGTTTTTAAAAGCTATTCCGTAACCATCGGCAGACGAGAAAGCGGCACTCCCCAGGATTAAAAGGACTCGTCCTGCAAGAACAGGGTGAACAAAATAGCAGAAGGTAAAAGATAAACCCAGCAAGGCAGCAGAAATTTCAAAGGATGAAGGAGATGCACGAAAGCTCAAGTGCGAATGCTTGAACCTCATGCAAGCTCTACCTTATATAGGCCACAGACTCAAGAGACGTTAGGCCCTGAATTAATCACGTTAATTGTGATTAAAGTCTCAGTTATGAATGTTACAGTAACAAATATGAGTAACATATATGTTTTGAACGTTAATTGTAATTAACCTGTACGTTTCGCAATTAAAAATCCATTATGACATATTGATGGAGTGTAAAAAAATAACCAAATGGTAGGCTTTCAAAATTCAAATGTAATAAAATCATGATTCTTATAAGTTTAAATTATTTCCGGATTTTGCAAAAAACGTCTGATTAAAAGGTGCTCAATTGCCTTTAACTTGTGCACAGTGGGGAAATTGCCGGATTTCCATTGTGTTTGTCTCAGACAACCCATAGTCATGCGCGTAAGATCGTCCTCCTTCTCCTCGAGGCCCATTCAATAGCCCAAAAATACAAGCTAGTATTTATAGACTTGTGCTTTCACTCTCTTAAGCAATGTAGGATTTGTTCTTTTGACACACCCACACAATTTCCAACAATACTTTTCCCAATTTTATAGTAGAAGGAAAATTTCATGCCCGAATTTTCTTATAAATTTGTATCATATGGTTTTGAGGAGAATAGGTAATCAGAATGTAAGGAATCAAGTTTTTTTTTTCTACGTTTGAGACTGAATATCCAATTTTGCACAATTCGAACAACTCAAGATCTTTTTCTTAAGAATTAGAAAAATACTCTTTTTTCTAAAAAGTTTCTTCACGATTTAGTGTGTGTGCGTGTGTTGAAAAATAAGCTTCAAAAAATAAGTTTGTCAGAGCGCTTTTGGTTCAAAAAGTTAAGAACATGGGTTATATCCGCGGACGTAGATTATTAAAAACCGAAATACTGAATGAACAACAAATCATAAAGATGAAGAAAAACCAATATGAAAGTGACTAGACATGAAATGTGAAATGGGTTAGCTTAACTGGGTGGGTAAGGATTTGCGTTGATGGGTCAAGGTTTTGGGTCATTTGAAAACAAGTCCAAATAACATTAAAGAAAGAACTATTTCCTAGACAAGCGGTACTGTGTCACAGGTTGCCTCAACAAATAAAAAAGTGGGGTAATAAAAGTAAAGGAGTGGCATCGCCTAAAGCCTTCTGCCTGTCATTCTTCACGTTCTGATTTCCTTTCAATGAAACCCTGCAACATTATATAAATAGAAAGAAATAAAGATATTTTTCGGAATAAACACATGCAAGTCTTATACGACAATCCCAATTGAGGGGGAAAAAATTACAAACCTCCCTTCTTACCAATGCTTTAACATTATCAAGTGATACTGAGTGTAGTATACATAGAACTGGCCAACAAAAGGAAATGTACCTGCCAATTTTATGTTGACAACTTGAGCTGTATTTTTAATTCATGAAAACGTAATCAAGAATAATTTGGTCAGGAAAAAAAAAGTAATTTTGGCAAAATA